GATTATTGTTCATAGCTTTTTATATATTTCAAAATGAAAATTTTCTTCATTCATTCAATTTTATTACATCGAATTGTTTAAACTGAATTTAATATAATTTCTTCATTAAAACCAGTTGTTATTGTAAATTAATTTTTGAACTACAGTACCATAACTTTTTTTCAAATAACGTATATTTGGAACAACCAAAATTAATCGATATGGATACATACATTTATGTTCGTATGTACTACTTATGTATGTATATATACATAAAAATGCTCAGAATAAAAAGAGAAGATGATTAGTCAATGTCCGTTTATTTGCGTACACGAAAACTCTAGCAAAAGTTGAGATATCTCAACGAAATTCTGTACGAGGGTTTTTTTATCTAGGGCAGCAGGGTATTGAAAATACAAAAGTCGAACAATAACCTGGTCCCTCTCATAAAATGGTAATTTCGAAAAATGCCAAAACTACAATATTTCCTTAATTACAGGAACCAAATTGCTTAAAAACTGCCATGTTTATTATTATAGTTTTGGAAAATGGACATGGGATATATTGCTAGCTTTAAACATCAATTTGCTCAAAACATACGTTTAGAACAGTGTGCAAGCTTCTACCACATGTGTGGTAGATCAACCACGTATTTTTTTTTAAATTTGGGTGTCTACCACATCTACCACACAAGGCTTAAAATCTACCACATTTTTAGACAGAACATTTGTTTACAATTTTCACATAACTCTAGAATTTCAACTCAATTGTAATTTGAAATATAAAAATTAATCAATAGATTTTTAAAAAGGTACATCATAAATTTTGCTTTAAATATATCTGTGCCTTAACTTTCTAATATTTCAAAAATACGCCTATTTATATTTGCTAAAGTATTATGCAATGGGAAAATAATTTGGTCGATTTTTTTGCATACAAATAAAATATTATTTTCTTCATGATTATATTCTCTAACTAGAAAACTAATGTTATACTTATTTTTGCACCAATTGCGTGGAATCTGTACGATCCACTAGCAATTATATTTCCCGATTTAATTTTTGAGTTGTGCTTCTTTTGACGACGGTGTGCGATATGTATACCCAATAAAATATGAATTGGAAAATCTACCACATCTTATTCAAATCTACCACATTTTTTTCGATTCTACCACACTAAAATAAAAAGGGGTTTGCACACAGATTTTTTAAATCTTTTTTTGAGAAAAGTTGATAATTTGCAACTTATTGTAAATGGTAGGAACCACCACAAACCCACAAATCAGGTTTTAGAATCTTTATTAAATGCTTGACCCAATAGCGAAGAAAAAAGTACGAAGAAACTTGTATTAAGAATTTTTTAAATAAGTAATAAAATGTATATATCTAAAGTTAGAATTAGAAGCGCTTAAATTTGTTTACTTATTTTAACGTAGATTTATAGGTATGTACATATGTAATAATTTCTGCACATACCTTTTATTGGTACATTGGTAATACTTATTTAGAAAGCTGACAATTTTCGAAACAGAGATGTAAAAATCGTTAATAATTAACATTTTTCATAATGACATTCTTGGCAGAAAAATATTTCTCTAATTAATATTTTCATTTATTATAAATATTTGTACAAATTTAAGTGAAACAAATTAATGATAACGCTCAATAAACTATTTTTCCGAGTTGAAATTTTGAAATCTGTTCAATAAAATTCAACCTTGCGTATTTTTCAGTGGGTTTTGTGTATTTAGAATATTTATATCGATTGATTGGTACTGAATGAATGTGTGCACACATAGCAAAAGCTGCATTCATCTGAATGCTTATTCAGTGTTAAAAGTTAATGTTTCGTCATTCAGTTTTTTCAATCTTTCTTTGAATATGTTAATGTGTGCAATCGTATCTACTTTGAGTGAATGTAGAATTGGTAAATTATAAGCCACATTCCCCAACAAGGAAAAATTCAATGAAAACATAATAACATAAAATTGATGATTTTTAATTTCATATGATTTCACAGTTTTACAGCTCTGATATCAATGAATATAAAAATGTTGGCATACCGACTGGGTTAAGGAAGACTTTTTTACGTATAGTTCCGTGCATATTTTGCTGTCGAAATTGGCCTGTCCATGAGCGATTTGTGGTGTACCGGAACCGTTTTCGTTCACGGATCGCTGTAACTAGTTCGGAACACCAGAAGGTGTCTTCCAGTATACCTGTGTGGATTC